TAGTAGAAAATATAGAAAGTATAGTTAGAAGTTTTAGTTTAGGGTTTAGGGTTTGAAATGCGTTTAAACATGTCTCATCTTTCTAGGATTTTTTTCGGATTTTTCTACAAGTTTTTACCATCTTTCTTGGCCAAAGTCCAAACTTTTAATTTCTCTAAAAAATCTTTTCATGATCTTAAAATATTTTATTTGATTCATCATGTCCTATAGTATATATTACAGGATTTTCTTTGGTTTTCTAGAAGTTTCAAAATATTTTCCAAGAATTAAAAATGATTTTATTCGAATTGTTTTTTAACTGAAATGAATATTTGGAAATTCCAAAAATTAGAAAATAAACCCTAATTTTTCCGGACCCAAAACCCTACGCATACATGCTCAATGTGATCATCACAAATCTAAATACTCTATCCTGAGCTATCACCCGTAGCGCTCTAGATCTGAAGCCAAAGTTTCAACTTTTACGAGCTTCCTAGCGAAACTTTGGCGTTCTTTTTCAGTGTAATTGACGGGTTCTTGTCTACACCGGGATGTCATTTTGTTTCATGAATCTATCACCGTATGACATAGATTTAAATAGCGAGTTATAGCCGTGCTATAGCGCTGCTATAGCTTCTAGAGAGAGTCTACGCTAAGCTACTTTATTTTTTCCACTATGTCATATATAACCGCTATATTGCGCTTTAACATCACTGAATTGCTTAGCTATAGCTTTGAAATAGCACCAATATTTCAATTTTAGCTATAAGAGTGAAAATTTAGGTACTATCTATTTAATTTTTGGTGCTAAGTTGGTCTTTTAAAAAATTTAACGCTTGAGTTCCACAAATCATGATGTAATGCCATATTAACTAATGTTTCCTAGACTCCTAAAGCTTTAGAAACTTGTGTCCACCAAATTTCATGATTCTTATGTTTTTATGAATCAATTACTTGTATTTTTCATGGTTCTGTTAAAAACCGCTATCTGTTATAGCTTCTGTTCTATAGCTTTATAGCTGTAAAAAAGATGCCGCTATTTGGATGTCCCTACCTGAGATTGTTGGAAATATGCATGAGGACTGCACTATCACGGACGGCATATTGTTGCATATTACCTTTCTCCAATGAAAGACTTGAGTACTGGCTTGCACATATTGGTTGATTACAAGGTGTTACCATACATGTCTGACTGCATTGGTGAAGGTGGTTCTACATAAATGTATGTTGAAATGTTAGTTCAGTTGGTGTGCAGGATGTAGCACATAAATATACTCCCTCTGTTCCAAATTATAAGTCGGTTTGACTTTTTTTGTACATCCACTATATGTATTTAGATAAATAATATGTCTAGATGTATAGCAAAATAGATGAACCAAAAAAGTTAAAGTAACTTATAATTTGGAATGAAAGGGAGTACTGATTATGAGGATGTGATGGAAGATGCTTCAAAGGACGAGGGGACAGAAGATGAGGAATTACAAATTTACAACCTGTGAATGAAAAAGATTAGTGAAAGCGGAACAAATAGAGAAGCAGGTGACTTTGGTCAGGCAATTTAACAATAGCCTAAGCAAGAAGGACGAGGAAGTTGGAAATTGGAGGGCAGTGGAGGAAAGAAAGGAGATGGAAGCTCGTAGTAAACAAATATGTGGAGAACAAGTCAAGCGTTTTTTTTTTTTTTTTTTTTTTTTTTTTGAACAGAGAACAAGCCAAGCATTGATAGAGTATATGCCTAGGGACTCCTGCACATCAGGGGATGATGATGAAAGCTGCCCAGATATTAGAAAATCTAAGAATTTCAAGAAAAAGCTGAGGAAGGGTGAGGCTAGCAACTTGGATGGTTCGGCGTATTGGGGTATTGGGGCATATTGCACCTAGACATCAAGTTTGGCTTATTGAAGATGATGGCAACTGTACCCAGTATGCAGACAACAATGTTTACCATTCAGTTGATGATATGGTTAAATTAGCAATGGTAAAGATGTTGGTACTATTTGGCCTTTATCGGGGAAAGGATATAGTGAGAACAGTACTCCCCCTTCCCCCAATCATTTTCGTCTTGCTCGCACTCTTTCGTCTGCTCTTGTTCTCTTGCCCAAATGATTTTAGCCCGAGTCCAAGAGCTTTGGCATTTGGGTGCTTCGTGTTGTCAAGCCCAAGTGCATCCAGTCATTGAGCGGTCCTGGTGTTCGAGGCATATCTTTTTTTTTTGTGACTTCATATCTTTTCGATCCAGCTATGGTGCATGGACTATGCACCTCACAACTATATAAACCGTTTTTAGAGGTATCTCCCTTTTTAATTAGAGATAGCTCTCTATTTTCAGTGATAACTAGCACGTAGAACCGCCTCTAAATATGTCATTTTTAGAGACAGTTCAACTTGCCAATGCCTCCATTTCTAGAGGTGGCTTGGAATTCTAACCTCTCTAGAAATTAATTTCTAGCAACGGTTGACAATTTGGTCCATTATAGTAGTCGAAGATATATACAACTTTGTAGTTGATGATTTTTTCATTTAAATCCATTTAGTGCACGGAAAATCTTTTTAAGTTTTCAGATTTTGAAATTTATTTATTTTTACTTTTTTCCAAATTACCTCGGGTGGAGAGAAATCTCTGCTGCCTGAACTTGTATGGAACATTTGGGCACCGTCACGATGCAAGTTCTTCCTTTAGCTGCTACTTCAAAATAGACTGTGGACTTCAGACTGTCTCCTTCTCAGAGGATGGCCAAACAATTATTTCTGCCCACTTTGCATGATAAATCTTGAGACCTCCATCCACTTGGTTGTTGAATGCCCATTCTTCAGGAAGATCTGGAAGAAAATCAGTGGCTGGTGCAAAGGGAGGAAGCTAGACCCTGAAAATTGGGCTTGCAGGGATGATCTACAGAGCTGGCTTTGGAACATAGCAAAGGAGGGAAGGAAATCAGACCATCTGATTGCAGTAATTACAGTTTGGGAAATCTGGAAAGAGCGAAATGACCGGATCTTTGATCGCAAATAGAGGCCAGTGGCTGATATTGTCTACAGAATACGGGATGAAATTGCTTTATGGAAGTCAGTGGGTGCAAAAGTCTTAGACCACCTAGTTGCAGCGAACTTTAGGGAGTAATTACTTTGTTTCATTTTCTCTGTTGTTCTCACAACCTGCTGAAATCAGTGCTGTAGCACAACTTGCACGTGTAACTGCTACCCATCTTATACTAATACAAGCCGGCAACCAATCTGGATCTTTCAAAAAAAAAGACTATTAGGCTTAAATATTGTTGTTCCCTTGAGGTTAGAACCGATGGCCCCTCCTAGATCTCACTTCATATCATGTGAAATTTATGGAAGGAACGTAATCGTCGAATTTTTAACAATAATTACTCCATAGCACTCCAGGTGGCCGGGCGAGCCAAAGATGATCTAGTACAATATAGAAGGGCTTTCACAACACCTAGTCATTAGGCTCTACTGCTAGGCTAAAGCCCCCATGTGTACATTTTGCCTCCACAGTTTGGCTATGTGTTTGCTTGCCCCTTTTGGTCCTGGTGCCACTCTATACATATAACTCCTCTTTATTCTCTTAATGAATGGCAGAGCTCCTGCCCTTACTTAAAAAATGCGCTATACAACTAATCTTTAGTGCCATGATGTAGGCTTAAACAATTATTTCGACTTAATATGTGGATTAAAAATTTTATAACAGCTAATAAGATCGAATTTTAAATTAAAATTTAGATTCGTGATGTCATAAGACGTGTTACAGCAAGAGCCATAATAATTAACATAAGGTTTCAACTAAACATATATTAAAGACACATGTAGATGCCATACAGAGTGAGAAAAACTATAGAGATACCAATACAAAAACACTTATGTGCTGTTTGGATCAGGAATGCTAACGGGACGACAAATGTGATTGGAATATGCCGTTAACAAAATATCGGAAGACGGACTTTGTTTCACTTGATGTAACGGTATTGGAGAAAGTTGGAAACAAGCGATCTAATTACGCGGGGGAGAGAGCGACAACAGCTTTGTATAGAGCGGTATCTGATAACGATGGAACCTGATTGCAGGAGGGCTCAAACAAACAAGTATCAAAGGGATCCGTTACCCTCTGTAATGAAGTCACGTTACAGTTTCCCGAAACAAACACTACCTCAGGGTAATTGATAAGTTTATCACAATTGAATATAGATTATAGAGTACCTATGAAAAGGCAGCGTTATAAAATAAACAAAGAGATATAAAAAGATGAGTAATTTTGGGGCGTTTGTATCCCCTTAATTTGGAAGAATTAGAATCTATTCATTGGATTAAGCTATTTTAGCTTAGAATTTGACAATCTATAACTTTTTCAAGCTCATGTATAAGTCTATCTCAAACTCGATCGTAGGGTGAAAGATGAAAATTGATTCTATAGAATACCATGTTATTTTTCTACTCTCCAACTTATAGCACGCTCTTCAACGGATTGTTTGGCTGATAGTTTCTGCGGGTGATAAGTCGGTTGAAGCTGATTTGTTGTGAAAGAAAAATATTGTACTATGACTGATAAACCAGGCTGATAAGTTGAAGCGAATAAGATTAGGAATATACAAATATATTTCATATACAATTCTATTAACTAAATTAATCTGTGTCTAAATTATAATTATTAAAATGAATTCAATTCTAAGGATTTAGACGGGGCGTGTAAAACCTGTTATATTTATGTCTTCTATTCTAAGATGGTTCATGATGGAAAATCGACAATGCCCAACATCCCCTCTTCCATCCATCATGCCTTTATATGTCTACCAGACGAGAGCACTCGACAATCACAATCTGTCTTTGCTTTGCACTCACATTACGTTACGCATGGCTGATGGCTTATCATCACGAGCACAAGCCGCAAGGGAGTGCAGCCTAAATCCACTGATGATGGATAACACCTACTAGTACAACAGTATGATCGAGAAGAACACAAGCTCGATCTGCTCAGCAGCTAATTTCCAGTGTACTGAAACTGAAGAACGGAAAGGACGATGAGGAGGCTTTTGCGTCGTACAGCAAGAAGCACAGGCAGAGCTGGTGCTAATAAGGCGGCGTTGGTGTTATGGGCAGCATCGGCCATCTGCTCTGCGCTTCTCGCCGTCCTGCTCGCCTCCAGATCATCGTTCTACCTCCAGCAGCCTGCTTCTTCTCCCTACACCTCCCCCGGGGCGGAAGCGGAAGAGGGGCGGCACCACCACCGGCGCCGGGCGTGCGACGACCAGGCAAGGTGGGTTGCCAAGATGGCGTCCCTGCACAACGCCACCCTGGTCCTCACCGTCGACCGCAAGGGCTGCGCCAACTTCACCAGCCTGCAGAAGGCCGTGGACGCCGTGTCCGACTACGCCGCGGCGCGCACGCTGATCGCCGTCGACGCGGGCGTGTACGCGGAGAAGGTGGTGGTGTGGAGCAACAAGACGGGCGTCACGCTGCAGGGCCGCGGCAACCTCAACACGACCGTCGTCTGGAACGACACCGCCAACTCCAGCGGCGGCACCTTCTCCAGCGCCACCGTCGCCGTCCTCGCAGCCAACTTCGTGGCCTACAACGTCAGCGTCCAGAACACGGCTGCCCCCGCCGACCCGGGGGGCGCGGGCGGCCAGGCGGTGGCGCTGCGCGTCGCGGGCGACCAGGCGGCCTTCTACTGGTGCGGCTTCTACAGCTCGCAGGACACGCTGCTGGACGAGCAGGGCCGCCACTTGTTCCGGGGCTGCTACGTCGAGGGCTCCATCGACTTCATCTTCGGCAACGCGCGCTCCCTCTACCTCGGCTGCACCATCAGCTCCGTCGCCAACGCCGCCGCGGACGGCACCGTCACGGGGAGCGTCACGGCGCACGGCCGCGCGTCGCCCGCCGAGAGGACGGGCTTCGCGTTCGTGGGCTGCACCGTCGTGGGCACGGGGCAGGTGTGGCTGGGCAGGGCGTGGGGCCCCTACGCCACCGTCGTCTTCGCCAGGACGTACCTCTCCGCCGTCGTTGCGCCCGGGGGATGGAATGACTGGAACGACCCCGCCAGGCAGCAGTCGGTGTTCTTCGGGGAGTACGACTGCACGGGCCCCGGCGCCAGCGGTGGCACCGCGCAGAGGGCGGCGTACGCGAGGCAGCTGGACCAGCGCCAGGCCGCGCCATTCATGGACGTCTCCTACATCGACGGCAACCAGTGGGCAGTGCCCCCTCTGCTTCCGCCCATGCAGATGCAGGGCGCCGCCGGCGAGGACATCATCATATCTGCCGAATTTAGTCATGGCCAGGCCGGCAGCATGTAAATCTAGTAAATTCAGTCAATAATCAGTCTGCAATGTGGACCGTTGATCCTCGGTCTGTAAGGAGTAGAGTCAATCAACTATAAGTATGAGCAAGGAGGAAAGGCCATTGCTCAGTCGCGTCTCCACCGGCGCCGACCTCACCACCGGCAAACCGCTCGCCGGCCGCCGCATCCGCGTTACTGCCGAACACAAACTCGCCCCCGCCAGTGGCCGCCTCATCATCATTTGATTCGTCCTTGATGGGGACGCGCCCACCATCACTGTGCGTTGGCACCCAGTGCTGCTGCTGCATGTTCCATGGTGGCGGCGACGACGAGGTCGATCCGGGGGACACGAGGACGGGGCTCCCCGGCTGCAGCTGGTAGGCGTGGAGGAAGCCCCCGGTGACCATGCCGCCTCCGGAGCAGTGCGGCTGCTGGTCTGTGGCAGCGGAAGACCATAGGAAGCGGGCGAAGGGGACCTCCGGCGACGACGGCGTGGTGGCCGGCAGGTGGAGGCCGGACTCGGGCGGGGGCGTGACCGGCGCGGTGGACGGCTCGGTGAGGCCCGCGGACGCGGAGAAGGCCGGCGGCGACACCAGCTGCTGCGGCTCCCTGGCGTAGGGGCCGATGGCGAAGATGGAGGCCGTGGGCGAGCTGTAGCTGCTGCTGGCGTTGTTGGCGTTGAGGAGCACCACGGGCGACGGCGACTCCGAGGTGAGCACGGACGAGGCGGGCGACGACGGCGGCGCCACGAAGGCCAGCGCAGGCTGGGCCGCGTGGCGCGCATAGTAGTGGATGCTGGAGCTGCCCGCCGCCTGCTCGGCGCAGGGCGCGCCCGGCTCCGGCGACCGCGACGCGTCGGCGATGCGCTGCGGGTGCCCGTGCGGCCGGAACCACTTGAGCTTCGCCTTCAGACGCGACCACCATCTCGTCTTCTTCTGCACATGCCATTCCAAGACCCAAAGCATGAAGGCAATTAAGGCAAGCAAACAACTCCATCAGAATTAGACACACACCATGGATGAGCTTAGCAATGCTACTGTTGAATCAGAAAACAGTACTTCCTAGTATATCCTTGCGACCTGTGCACGTGTTCTTGATATGATTTTGAGTTGTGAAACTCAATCGATGCTTCAGAAATTCTGAAAGAAAGCAGGTAGCGTGACCAAACAGGTAAGGCGAAAGCAAGTACTAGTATATAACGTACCGCGGCGGCGCAGCTGGCGTGGTCGTCATCGTCGAGCTGCTGCTGGTGGCGCAGGAGGCCTGTGCTGGTGGATCTCGCGGCGGCGGCCAAGACGATGGCTGCGGCGTGCACCGTGTCATCATCCTGCTGCCGCTGCATCTTTTTCCTATTTTCCCTTGCTTTCCTGCTCGATCAATCGATGGATCCAGCTTGTTGCTTTTATTGGATATATATGGTATGTGTCCCGAACGAATCGATGGTGGATCAGAAGCAGCTTTTTGCTGGATCAATCAATCGATGGATCAGCCGATTGTGTTGCTTTAATTGGAGTAGAATTAAGGAAGGAAAAGGCGCGGCCGGCCGGCCGGGCGCGTCACGCCATGCGTGGGGTGGGACTGAGAATGCAGGCAGAGGCAGCTCATCTTTCATTTCATCCATCCCATCCGAGCCAAACAACCCAATCCAAGGTTTGACTCCAAGGGTGCGGGTCAGTCACGGACGCACGCACTAATCAATCGTCCAATTAGCAACGAGAACGTAACGACTAATCCATCCATCTGGTTCGGCTTTCGTCGTCCATGCAAAGTCCACGGACGGCTCATGCGCGTGTACCTTAGGCGTGCCACACGCCCACACCCACACCCACACGTGAGGCAGCATGTCATGTAGGACACGGTACACCTCCGCGAACTAGTAGGGTCTTTGTCGGACGATGTCCAAAATCCACCACACAGCGCCTGCTCCAGCACGGCACGCCGACGCGTCCATGGATCGTCTATCCATGTCGCACTTTAGCATGGCCGGCCAGAGACAACGGACAACCACCAGACTGAGAGAGCCAGCCAGCACCCAGCAGCACAGAAAAAAAAATACTACACGTACATGAAGACGATTGCTGCTGCAGGCCACCCAAATACGCGTATAAGTCAACAAAAGAGAAAAATCACGTAGCGTATTGTTTCAGCGCGTGTTTAGTTCATCCAAATTTCCAAAAAAGTGCTACAGTATCTATCATATCGAATCTTGCGATACGTGCATGGAGTATTAAATGTAGACGAAAAAAAACTAATTGCACAGTTTGGTTGGAAATTGCAAGACGAACGTTTTGAGCCTAATTAGTCTATGATTGAATACTAATTATCAAATAAAAACGAAAGTGCTACAGTAGCCCAAAATCCAAACTTCACGCAACTAAACACGCGCTCAAGATTTGTGATATCTTCTTGTTGTCTTTTGTTGGGCTTTGTCAATCTCATATGTGAACTGATTTGGTTGTCGTCATTTGTTCAAAATTTTGGCCCAATAAGATTTGTTGTTGTATTCTGTTGAGATGGCAGAAACAAATTTACGATCCGTTTGGTGTTAGCAGGGACGTAGCCAGCGGTGGGGCTAGGGGGGCTTCAGCCCCCCCTACCCATCCTGAGCACGTGGAGTTTTCATAAGTCCTTTCTTAAATTTTTATGCATACATGTATTAGGTAGGAGAAGCTAAGGTTAAGAGAAGATAAAAAAAACCTATATTCTTTTGTTCAGCCCCTCCTAAATTTTTTTCTGGCTTCGTCACTGGGTGTTAGTAAGGATGGATAAGTCAATGCATATATATATAGGTCAGGTAACATCAAATTATATTGTAAATTTGCAACAAATAATCAAGAACTAGAAGCATCAGGGGCTGTTTAATTGCCCGCCAGTGCACGCTGAGCTTACGGCGATGCCACAAGTGTGGTGGAAAAAATAGCCGCCACATGTTGTGGCGAGATTCCATCTGATCTGCACTATGAATCTCTATACGCATATTCATCAACCAAACAGTCACTTCGATATATATCAACCAAACAGTCATTTCGATATCTATGGCTCGTGGCGTGGCCTGCTGTGGCCGGGAACTAAGCACCCAATGCACATGAACCATTTATACCATTGATTGAACGCGTAATGACGCACATATCCCACTCCATTTCCGCTGGCAGCATGCGAGTCCGCCACGAGCAGGAGGAGCCGAGGAGGAGATGCTCGTGGACCCGGAGCAGAAAAGCAGCCTGCTGCCTGCAACGCTGCTCTCTACAACTAGAGAATTTTGTTGTTGCTATATATGGCGTTTACTTTTTAAAAAAAAACATGATTAGAAGTGAATGAAAAATGAAGACAAGATCATCCAAATAAGAGGGCAGCAACATTATACGATCTTACCCACCTTGCAAATTGCTGTATCTTTTCTCTAGCGTATTTTGTTTTCTTCACAAAAATCCAGGTGAGCCCAGGCCTTGCCTCTCTACCACCAGGCCCAGCCCAAGCGGGGTGGACCTTTTGGGCCTGCATTCTTTTTTCTTCAGTGGTTGTAGAAAAAGTCCATTTACATTCTAAAGAAACTAGCATTGTCGTCTGATTTTCCTACTCAAACTCCAAAATAGAAAAATCTTATCTCCCGATTTCTCAAAACTGTTCAAATCACGTCCCCGTCCTGGATTGTAGTGGTTTTGAAGGCAGTTCTATCTTTTCTTTAGTTAATAAAAATTTGGTAAATGCTTGATAAGGTTTTTAAACCATGGAAATATCTCCAAGCTTCTAAAAGTTTTGAGAAAAAAACTAGAGATATATTGATATACCACAAACCCAAAAATAATATATAGATTTGTGAAAATATCTCTGGAAGCTTCAGAAAGTTATAATTACCTCTAGCAAAACGAAAAAATATCCAAAAATTTTGGATAAGCTACTAAAACATTCTAATTGATGTCCAAACAATTTTTAAAAATTTCTACGCCAAAATATGAGATGCAACTAGTATGAATGCAACATACATTAATGTTGAATTCATTTATGTTGGTTGCATATTATATTTCTATTGTGGAAAGTTATCAAAACACATTTAGACATCAGCTAGAGTATTTCAATGATTTTCTAGATTTTTCTCATTTTCCTAGAGCTAAATCAAAATTTCAAAGCTTCTAGAGACATTTTCATGAGCTCTAAATTTTCATTTGAATTTGTGGTATCCCAATCTATGTCTATGGTTTTTAATTGATTTTTTAGAATCTTTAGAGACATTTTTTGTGGTTGAAAAACCTTATAATGTATTTATCAAAAATTGTATGACCACTTCCAATAAAATGGTTTTTGAGACATTTTTAGAATATTTAGAGACATTTGATCGGTTTTGAGAGTTAAGGGATGAGATATTTGGTTTTAAAGTTCGAGGAGAATAATCTAACCTACTTCACGGAGGTAAAAATGGACCTTTTTAGTGATCCTAAGTTAGGGTGATTTATCAATGTCAAACTCTTGTTGTATCATCGAGAAAAAAATTGTATATGCCTATGTGCCCCACCATGAGCGACATGCGGTAATGTCTACTCACACAATTTTTGATAAGATCATACAGAAGTGTGACCAACATCGCCGCTATCAATCTCCTAAGTCCTAAATCTTAACATCCCTACAGGGCAGGGTGAGGCGAAGATGATCATGTCCATTCTCTGATCATCGACTATATTGGTGTCCAGGAATCTCAACCGACCCGTGTTGGACTCATGGATTATTTGTAGCGAGGAAGATCTCAATAGTGAAACTTTCAACCAAGACCCTGTTTAGATACGCTTAAAATCATATTCCCAATCACTATATGTGAGAATTGATAAAAATCCCACCAAGCGCCATTCCGATTCTTATTAGTGCCTCTTATCCGTCTACCGCCATTCACCAAATTAAACTAGGAGTCTAGTTTTATGTACTGCAGCTCTCGTGTCACAAATGGCTTTACCGAACCAAACATGGAATCAATTCAAACATGAGTTCACGATCTCGTAACCAATCAGCCAGATCAGAGATGGGAGG